GCTGTACCAGCATTTATGATACTGAGCAGGGTTACAGGGTGGGTGACTACGGTGCTGCAAACGACATGGTCTGTGTCCAAAAGCTACTCAAGAATCAAAAGTTGCTAAAGTTCTACGCGGAACATCCCCCCCGCGACCATTGCGATATCGGTGCCACCAGTGAAGAACTCGGCGACAAGGATTGTAGCACATGTGTGGGTCTATTACCGGAAACAAACATCACTGTACCGACAATAATGGCTTTTAAGAATGTCCCTTTAATTTCACACCCAGTATCGGCAGCGATGCAAGATGTCATTGTCAGGATCGTATTCAGCTGGTAATGGTAACATACATGTCGGAATTAGAACTAGCACCAGCGTCATGAGTTGTACGGCTACAATTATCAATGTTGATTAGTTTGATTGGGTGGTAAGTTCTACACATGAGATGTACGGCTACAATTATTATTGCCGATCTGTTTGATTGGGTGGTAACTTCTCACTCTTGTGGATTGTACTTTTGATTAATAAATACCTGTAGCTTTTCCTGCCAAAAAAGCACCTTGGCGGTCGTAAAAAGGAAGGTCGTAAGAAGCGTTGCTGTGGCTCTAATATGGCGTCCTATTGCTGCTACTGACTCTGTAGGTAGCTTAAGAAATAAGTAGATCGACAAAGCAGCCTGAAGGAGATCGTCTTTCGAATTAGTGCAGCAAAAGAGACACTTCGTAGTTTGTATTGTCAGCAAACCTATCGACGCTCGTTTGAGGGTCGCGACGACGGTAGATATTCGTGACGCTGCGGACTCTAGGATACAAGCCAATTCTAGTGACGGACAGCATGAAGATCATATTGCCCGAGTCCGTCCAGATATCTTGTCGACTGTCGTGGAGACACATACGACCTCGAGAACGCAACTTCGTCGAACGTCCTGTCTAAATTTCTTGAAAATTTCGTGGTTTCTTCATCGTGTCCAAATTTTACGTGACATGAAGCACTTGCCAAGTGAGTTACTACTATCTGTAATGCCAGTGTTTCCATACTTTGATATGAACATGACATTTCCGAACGGATTCTACCGCGTTCATTGACAATCAGTTTATAGATTATAGGTTTCTACCGAATTCGCGATAAACCGAGTTTTTAAAAAAAGTTTTACAGCACCACCATAAACGACATTAACAAACGAATGCTAGCAGAGGTTTATGGGATGTCGTGCCATCAAAACCAGTCATACCCATTCAAGTAAAAAGAGAGAGAAAGATCCATAACTGTCTATTTTGATAATTTGCTAGAAGTCTGTACTTGTCTCAGACAGGAATACAGCACCGGACGCGGCGGTGATAACGCGAAGCACACCAAGTTCCCTTCTTTACGCATTTTAATGACGATCGACTATTGATTCACCTGGAGATCATCTCTCCTTTAGCCAAGGAGATTTGCAATAAGTTTTATGCCGGCAAAAAGTTTGGCTGATTGACGCCACTTACAAAACCAACCGATTTGGACTTCCCTTGCTGCACATCGTCGGCGTGACTGCAACTGAGCAAACCTTCACGTTTGCCTCCTGTTTCATGTCGGCACTAAAGGAGGACATCTTTTTGGGCAATGCGGCTAATTTGCGATTTTTTTTTAGACTTTGAGCCTGCCAAAAGCTTTTGTCACCGACCCTGAAATGGCCTTGATACGTGCCTTTGATGGGGTATTTTCAAGAGCTGACTTCTCCACTGCCTATGGCACATCATCAAGAATATAATGGCCAAGCAGCGCAAGAACTTTGACTCAATGCAGGTATTCAAGGAGCTTGAGCGTCAGTGGAATGGTGTCGTGATGTCGCAGACGCCAGAGATCTACGAGGAGCGACTAGCACTGCTGTAAGCAGAGTTTCCTTTACATGTCATGCAGTACCTTCAAGATACAAACTTTATCAACTAGGCCAACCCGTGGCTTGCTTTTTGCGGAATAAGCTCCACTTTGGTCACGTCAATACCTCGCGCGTTGAAAGCGCTCATGCAGCATTAAAAAATGGATTGCAGACTTTACAGGGGATCTGTTGACTGTGGAAGCAGCTTGACGACTTGCCTGCGATGACCAGCTTGTAGAAATTAGGCATCAAACGGCATAGGGGAGATCAATTGATGGTCTACAATTCGGCCCAGTGTTATCCGCGGTGATGGGAGAAAGTTTCCTGTTGCCGGATTGCGATATGCTTTTCAGCAATACCGACAGCGACATGGTGCCGGGATTATTTAGGCATGTAAAAGTTTACAAAAGGCCCACCCAGCATACACACCTTAAAATCGGCAACCCTCCTCTTCGTCAACGACTTAGATCAGCATTAGTGGTTAGTTCAGCCATACCCTGCTGCCACATCCGCTACACAGTCTACAAGCATCGAGGACACGCTAAATGGAATCCGCGACGAGTATGAAAAGGCGTCAATCTATCGGCAAAATGTAGTCCTTGATCATTGCTCTGCTCTGCCTACTGCTGATGTGCAGAACCCTTTGCAGTTTTTGGCCGTGCGAGCCCTGCAGGCTCAATGTAACGGAGCACCCTTAGCGTGGTGGCCACGAACCTTTGCGTGCACTAGTACGTGCAGAGGAAGCTAATATACTCAAACTGCTAGTTTGAGTAAAGAGGTAAAAGAGAATTGTAGTTAATATAGTTAAGCTAGCAATATAACTTTAGCCTTTACCTAACTAAATTAAACAACGTCGTCGTATGACGACAACCTGCTCACCACTCATTGCGCGCGTCTAGCACTGATTGGTAGTAGTCTATGGTTGATGTGTCTTGTATCAACCAATCTTGGAGCAGCATGCATGAATATTATCCTAAAGGGGATACTATTCCTTTAAATTATCCATCTCGGATTATATTGGAAGGACATTGTCATACTAGACAATATTCCTATTTGACACCGTTTGGTGTCAATATCATGTTACGGGCTACTTCGTTAAACTCAACCTCTACCAAACGTGATCTGCCAGCTTTTTAATGTTGCATCGTTCGGAAAATGGGCAAAGTGTTAAATACGAAGTGGTTGGGACTAGTCTTTTAATTTATAATTTATCAACAAGGGTATACAAAATGCAGACCTACAAGGACCACTCGAATTAGCCTGAGTCATCCAATTAAATTACGTAGATTTATTGATTTCATGGAGATTTATTGAGACATCGCTCCACTGGATAGGAGGACGTGGGGCCCTTTATTTATTTTCCAATTATCTAGGGCATTTTCTATTTTCGTGGATAAAATGCCGCCTATTTTTTTACTTTCATCACAATGTATTCACTCCTAGCTTCTCAATCGAGTAGTCTCGATTCATCTTCACTGACAGTCACCAATGCAGAAACGATAGTTATGCGGAGTCATTCCGCGTTATCAATTACCTAGCCCCGTCATCCCCATAAGACATGGCTAAAGTAAGTAAGCTTACTATGGTAAACACGAGCTGTAGCAGAAGGCAAGGGGTGACGAGATGGAAGCGGGAACAGTACCAAACCAAATAAGTATGGCCATAGAAAGGCTCGCTTGAAACCACAAGTCAAGGCTACTTGTGTGTCTGCCAACTGTTTCTGTGAATCCGTGTGTTGTGATCGGGTGGGGTAGCTCCAGTGTTAGCATAGGGACGCACTTTGTACACGCGGCGACTGCCCTTACTACCAGAAGATGCCTCTTGGCGCTAGGTGTCGCATGCTCGCCATTTCTAGTAGACGCAAATGAGTACGCTGGTGTGATGTGGTCCGAGTCGGCTGTTCCTGTGACAAGAATTTTTGACCTGGCCTTCACTTAGCCACCGACGTCCTACCGTCGTAAGCCCTGCCGACTCTACCAATTTTCTACTTGCATTATCGGATACTTTGCCGAACCGAAACGCTTCGGCATCTATCCATTCTTCCTGATTCATGGCAAGCGATTACGACCTACTTCACTCGATCCCCTGGATGTGACCCATGTATCGTTCTGGTGTCAGAGATTGTGTGTATCAGGGTGACGGGCGCCAAGGCGACTCTTGGTCGGATCTGAGAACCTTCAAATTCCGTCGAGAATCCAACACAAGACGCGCTCGAGTTCGATAGCTTAGTTGTAACCACTCTGACGACTGCAAGAAAATCATGGTCTTTGTGTTGTCGGAAAGCTCCAATTCGTTGCTCGATACATGACATTCCACTCTTTTCAGAGTCAGAGCTGGTGCAGCCAAGATTTTTGCTGCGGCAGCTGATATGCAGCCAAACTGCTCGTTCCGTAACACCAGCAAAAAGATGCACGTACGACATTCTTTCATTTCAGATGCCGTGACCGAGCTGAAAAGTCTTTATTTGCCGCCCTTTTCAGGTACTGATCTGTACACTGGGCCTCGCTGGGACAATCTGACCGCCCGCCTCGGTTACCGATCGAAAATCGTCCAAGTCAAATATCCATTCGCCAGCTGGTCTTAGTTTCAAGGTAGAAGCTGACCAGATGGAAACTGGCCCAATGCCCAGCGATCGCATTGGCAGCTTCAGCTGCGGACCGTGCGGCGGCGTAAGCCATGTAATTCTAGCCACTCATATCGTAAGATCCACAAACCGGTCGGCAGGGGCAGTCCTGGTTTCAGCTTTAATAGCGTGACGATCTTGTAGCAAAGACGGGAAAGCAACGACAAGAAATGTTCCAGCGACTTTGATGGCGCTGTCAGACGAGACGCTTTCGAGTCGGGCCTTCCACACTTCAAAATTTCAGCAAGGACTTTTCGTGCCATCGTGAGCGACACATACCACTGAGGATCTACCCCGGCATACAAACGTCAAGTCCAGACGTCGCCGTCGATCACCAGGGCTGACGGGTGACCATGAATCCACTGATTTATGTCTACGCTCGCCATGTGCATATGTGCTTTGTTTGACTCTCCCTCTCGCTTCATCTTCTCACACCTGGCACAATTGACTGCACAACCGCCGAGAAATCTAGAGAGAGCAGCAGCCCACTGTGTTCACTCTTCGGCCTTCCTAGCTCTTTCTCCTTGTCGTCTTGATGAGGCTCTCCGCCGCGCTGACGCCGCCTGGGGCAGCGCTGCTCCACGCTGCACCTCCTTCAGCCGCGCAGACGAGCACGACCACCGACGTACGACCCGCCTCCTCACCGCAAGCCGGCAACGTCACGGGTTTGCCCGAGGCAACGAGTCTTGCGGCGCTCAGCGGTGCGCAAACCCTGGGGCGCACCTCATCGACGAGCGGCGCTGTACCTTGAGGTGCGGCTATGGCCGCCTGGCCAGCTGCCGCCAATGGCGCAGTCGCTGAGTTTGCAGCTATTGCTGCTGACTCATTGGGCCAGGCCCAGGGCGAATACTCTTGCGCGTTCTTCAGCTGGCACCGTCGGTTCCTATTGGCCTACGAGTCGTACCTTCGCGAGCTTGATGACCGGTTCGCTTGTCTCACGGTCCCGTACTATGACGTGCATACGGCATACATTCAGTCAGTGAATGGGGACTGTTCCAACATGTTAGACTGCAGTGGGATTTTTCAAGCCAATGGTGGATCCCCAGAACCCGCCAGAAGACGTCGCTGAGACTCAATGGCGTGGACGCCACGGGGTACGCGACGGTCGGAACCCTCTACGGGTGACGTTTGTACTGGCAATGACAATGACGAGGACAATTGTACTGTACGTCGTGCGGGCACGTCCAGCAAGAGACCGTTCCTAGTGCCGCGAGTTTTGGCTCGTTCCAGAGTGTCGTCGCCACCTTCGGGCGACTACGCGACGTTCCTTCATAGGGTATTCAGTACGGCGTGAATCACGAAGTGCTGGATGCTATTGGAGGCGTCTTTGCCACGGCTGCGAAGGGCTCACGACGCTCAAATACTGGCGGCACGCGGATCACATGTACTTGCACGTACCACCTCTGCCGGACTCGCGTTCCTCTCCACTTATATGATCAGATCATTGAGTCGCCTGAGGTGTACGCCAATGCCACGCAGCTTCTGGGCGTGGTGGTGCGGACGGTGTCGACGCTCAGTCGCCACCCTAATGAGGATCACAGTCGACGGGCAAGTTGTTGACGCGTCGCAGCACCCAACACTTGGCCGGTACTTTGGTTACGTGGGCAGTGACAGCTGGAACTACGCAGACATTCAGCAGCCTGAGACTACCCTACACGCATTGCTACCGGGAGATGCTACGCCAGCAGATCTTGAGTAATAACGACATGTGCATCGGGTTTCTACCAAGGTTTGCTGCAACGTACGAGTCTGGAACGCCACTGCTGTCAAAAAGCACGATGACCAGCAGGACGACGACTAGGATAACGACCACCAAGATGACCAGGATCGTGAATGGCAAGAAAGTGACCACGACTAAGGTTACTAAAACAGTGACAAGAATAACAGCACGATGACGTCGCGTGCTGCCAGGTCGACGGTAACGCAGACCACAGCCTGTCAGTCAGTCTGGATATTATGTACTTGGGCAACTTCAAGGTACGGACGACGGTGCTACTGGTGAAGGAACTTTGTGACAAACGATCACTTTGGCCATAGCGTACTACGGTGCCGGGGCTGCTACGCGACGAAGCACAACGGCATCTTGAGTGCTAATTTCTCTTCGCTCAAGCTTGCCGTCTTCTGCCTGATGTCATCCAGCACGTCGCCTGCAAGGTCGACGCAACGTACCCGAACACATCGAATGTAGTGAGATGGAACGCGACGGTGGGGAAGAGCCTTGTGGCTCGTAACATTACAGCGCCCTGAAGCTTACGCCGTCGCAGCTACCGGCATGGCTGCAAACCGCATACTGACGGTCTGTACTCCTGATTTGACGGTAACGTGGACCTTAGTGGCGACACACATGAAGCTGCTCGAGTTACACATTCAACAGCGCTCATGGGCTGTCCAACTTCACTGTGACCATTGTAACGAACAAGAATCTGGTGACCAACCGTGCAGTGCGGTCAGCGTCTGGACCCTGTCTGTTCCGGTTTGGCTGCAATTGGTGCGTTCCTCAGCGTGATGCCAGCCGAGGAGCTTGAGGTTCGCCAGCTCGACGGTTATTGGCGACTATTCGCTCGTCGTACAGGCGTGTAACTTCTCGCCAAGTGACGTGTACATCCGCAGGTCGTATACACAGCGAGTGCAGGCGAGCCTTGACTCAGCGTGCAGGAATCTCTGGGAACAACATCACCATCATCACGAACGGCGGATTTGGCGAGAATGAGACGTCTACTATTGCTGCGGACACTGGCTACGTCATCTCAACTCAACAGCATGGAGGTCTAAAGCTCTGGAGACACACTGCTTTAACGACCACCACGACAACCACAACGGCGCCGATGGGGGGATAAGTTGTCTGAGCTGCCGTCGGAGCGATCAACTGATGTGGCGGAACTGACCTCGCCCCCAAGGATCTGGATGCTACGACGCGAACGGACAGCTGGACATCGGGAGAAGGTAATTACGTGAAGAACGGTACAGCGACGACCAGCTTCACAACAGGAGCGAACGGTGAATTCACCAACAAGCAGTGGCCCCCGCCCGAGTAGAATCCGGGTGTTACAGAAGCGCAAATGGACAGCTGACATCGGGAGAAGGCACTGATGTGAAGAACGGTATGACGACCACACTCAACAGGAGCGGAACAGGAATTCACCAACACAGTAGCCCCTGTTCCTGGGAATCCAAAAAGGCAGCAGACGGGACAGCTGGACATCGGAGTAAGGCACTGATGAAGAACGGTATATCAGATCACTGGCAACAGGAGCGAACGGTGGAACTGACCACGGTTAAATAACCCTGGGTTTCGAGTGGTTCTGTCATCTAATACACCCGCCGTTCCAGAAGGCTCTTATCAGATGACGAATTTTCACGACTCGTGCGGCACTTCGGTGACGATTGTCGCCACCGGATCTGAAGAAACGGACACCACCACATACCAAGCAATGAACACGACGTTCGGTGGATGGACGAATGCTCCAACGATGAACCATTCGCCTGCGACACCCAGCAGGGCAACGACAGATGCGGCGGGGTGGACAACGTCCGCTTCGGAATCGGACGGCAGACATCGGGCGACGGACAACCGACTCGAACGGTGCGACGATCACGACGAGTGCCCGGTTCAGGTGGCGAGAGTACCACGACTACTATCGCGATCTCTGATGGTCGCTTGTGCATGAAGCCGTAAATAAGGAGGGTATCAGGAGAGACGGATTCGACGATGATTGTGAGGATAAAATAAACAAAACCGCTCATCATCGGTACGACCACGACTTGAGTCGAATGAGGAAACCAACACCACTGGAACACATACTTCTGCTGCTGGCACTACGCCTGATACTCACCCCTGGTACCACTACACCATACACCATACACATGCAACTATACCTGCTGCACATAACGCCACGCCCGCTGTTACGTGCATCGAAGTGTCCGTGCATGGTGACGCGACTTACTGCATAGAGGGACTTATCTGCAGCGGATAGGTGGCGACTGGCCTGCTGGTACAATGTGCCCCATGAAGGGCGACGTTGCTGTTCAGGACTGTCACGAGATGCTGTCCAGCTATACAAACTCGAGTGCTTGTGTTGCGCCCAAGAATGCTGGGTGTATCGAGATTGAGGCTGGCGCCTGGGGCTGCGTCTTTGAGCAGAGGGGGGCTGAAACACCAGCTCCTACGAGTGCAAACATGGACGTCCCCACGCCTGCTCCGACGAGGGCCAAGATCGACGTCCCTACGCCTGCTCCGACGAGGGCCAAGATCGACGTCCCTACGCCTGCTCCGACGAGGGCCGAGATCGACGTCCCTACGCCTGGTCCGACGAGGGCCAAGATCGACGTTCCCTACGCCTGCTCCGAACGAGGGCTGAGATCGACGTTCCTACGCCTGCTCCTACCAGGACAAATATGGACGTCCCTACGCCTGCTCCCAACTAGGATCAAGGTAGATGTCCCTACGCCTGCTCCGACAGAGGGCCAAGAGATCGACGTCCTACGCCTGCTCCGACGAGGGTTGCGATCGACGTCCCTACGCCTGCTCCAACTAGGATGGGGGATTGTGGACGTTCCTACGCCTGTTCCGACCCGGGACCAGAATGGGCGTCCCACGCCTGCTCGGACCGAGCAGACAGAGCAGCCAACTCCTGCCCCGACTTCTGGTATTATTGTGCCGGACACCAAACACAATACCGCAACACACCTGCTGCGTGCATCGAGGTGTCCGTGGAGGGTACGCGACGTACTGTACCGAGGGACCCATTCGCAGCGGATATGGCGACTGGCCTGCTGGGTACAATGTGCCCCATGAAGGCGACATTGCTGTTCAGGACTGTCACGAGATGCTGTCCAGCTATACAGCCCTGAGTGCTTGTGTTCGCCCAAGAATGTTGGTGTATCGGCAGATTGGGACTGGCGCCTGGGGCTGCGTCTTTGAGCAAGAGGGGCTGAGACCAGTCTGACCAGACCGAGACGGTGGCACCCGCGCCGACGCTACCGCTGAATCAGGAAGCCAAGGCTTGATGTCCACCGATGTGCAAGAAGGACGATGCCTCGACCGCGTTCACTGCTCCCCGACGCCTGAAACCAGAACTGAGCCTTAAGTCCAAACTACGGCTGGAGTCGGCAGCGGCTTTCAGCCACGGTACAACTTACACTCACGAGCAGCAGCAGCAGCACACTCAGCAACGACGAAAGCAGCAAACTCAGCAACTGACGCAGCAAACTGCTGCTTCGTCCTCGCCCGCCCAGACCGTAAGCACGTTGAGCGCCGATGCAATTCCAGCCGACGACGATGAAAGTAACGGCATATCCAGTATCGCTATTGTCGGCATCTTAGTCGCTGCTGTCTGTGCAGTCGTGGCTTTGGCTGGCTCTACAGTCATCCAGAGACGCCAGCGTTCGAGCGATGAAGAGGTGCCTTCCAGCGCTACTACAGACAGCCTGTGACCGCCTACCTAATCCGATCAAGCTGTGAGTGAGTGACCGCTCTTCCCTTTGTGCATGTGTCAATATGATAGACGCTGTAAATCGGAGTCTGAAGTGTCCAAAGATGGGGATGGCTTTGTTTTTTGCAGCCAGAGCTATAGTCGCGGCGGTGCTAAGGAAAAATAACTGTTCAGTGAAGCCAATACTGTTTTTCTTGCTGCGTAAAATCCTAAATGTTGTAGTTTGTGTCCATGCCAGGCCAACATGCGTTCATGATCAGGTATCTTAGCAGCCGAGTACACACAACGTATGCATCGCCGACCAGTCGGCTCGACTACAGGTTGAATGTGCAGTAATGCGAGTCAACCCGTCAAGGCCAAGGCGCGAACTAACAAAGACCGCGCTGTAACGGCACCCTGAAGCTTGTACTGGGTGACAGTACAAGCTACTTATTCCGATGACAGAATAAGGCGGTGCCGCGTAACTTCACGCGCACCTGTACGTGCAGAGGAAGACGGTAAGAAGAAGCGAGTACTTCGTTAAAGTAAAAAGTAGAACTGTATTTATAATAGTTAATGTCTGCAACAAATCACTGTTTATCCTCATCCAACTATGTTTGTATACTTAATGCGTGTATCAACTACCTGCTCGCCAACCGATTGCGTGCGTCTGTCGTGGCAGTCTTCGTTGGTTGATATAATGGCCTATATCAACCAATTACGAACTACTCGTAAGTGC